TAATTGTATAATATAGTAAAATATTACCGAGATGTTGAGATAAAATTATTTTTAATGAGTTACTTTTCTTATACTAATGAGGTTCTACGGAATGAAGTTAAGCGAAAGATTTTAGGCCATTTGCATTGGCAACAGCTTCCTCTCATATTTCTGATTTTTATTTATGACGGAAAGAATTTGATTCGCTAGATAGAAACAGTAGCATCACTTCCGGAAGTTGTAAAATAATGATAAGTGTCTGATGTTTCAGATTCTATTTTCACACCTGGCGATTTCGGGAATTTGTGCTTTAAATATGAGGAATCACTTACTTGCCTGTTCCGCTTTAACTAAAAGCACTTTAATATTTACACAATCAATTGTGGATGACAGAAAAACCCGATTTCAGTTTTGCAATAAGCACAAAATATATAAGAAGGAATACAAACGCTTTCAGTTACACAATGAAAGTTTTATTATTTTCAGCCCAAAGGAGCGTTAACCCAGAAGGGCTATAGTCTCGAAACGGCATTGTGCGTCGATGCACTAAAAGCGTTGAATTACTTTTCAAACTGTTGCCACTAAATATTATTGTCCTGTATGAATGTATGTATGGTTCTCACTTAGTGAAAAGACAAAGGTACCTAGAGCCATCAAATTTAGTCTTCCTCCCGAATAGGACACCTGGAATTCCTAATTTTGAATTTCGAATTTGTTTTATTATCTGTTTTCTATTTGTAAACATTTAACGAATTTTTGATTAAAAAACTCAACGATTTCAAAGTGAAAAATAGCAACACTGCACAGAATAAAATATTTTTATCTCTAGCGCGCGAGACTGTCTACCGGAAATTCTAAGGATATGTGTTTTAGTTATTATTAGCCAAAATCCTTTCGAAACGTCTATGTGTGTGTAAATGGGGAAAAAAGGTCCTTTAGGAGTAATATAAAATACGAAAAAAGCGTTCAGATTTTTATTTTGCTTTTATTCCTCCTCCTCCAACTACAATTGACCAAGTGAATTTCATTTTATTTCCCGAAAACAAAAAATAAAATATATATACTTTTTAAAAATTAGTCTTCTAAAGTATCAATATGTGACCAAAAATTCCTTAAAGGAATGAATAATTTAAAAAATAATCGAAATCTTGTATGAAGTTAAATAGTAAAAAGATGAGAACCAAATATGAAAAACTTTCAAGAATATGAGTTTCATGAAAGTGATTAAAAATTTATCAAATTTGCGAAAATGGTTTAAATATACGATCCATCAAAACTCTTTATTTCCCGTTTTTTAAAGAAAGGTTTATCCTCTTCCGATCAGAAATTTACCAAGTTTCAAAATTCTTCATTTTCGTCTATAGATCTCTGTTTTTGATGCCTATAATTTAATTTTTCTAATACGTAAAAACGCTACCAAAATAAATATGAAAATGGAGCACCTCTAATAAAAGGGCACAAACTGTTTAAAGCGCTGAACACAAAGTATGTTCTTAGATTCGAAAGAGTGCATAACAAGTTTCGCGCTTGGTATGAATGTCAAGATATCTAGACTTTTCAGTCTATTTTTATATTAAGGAACAATACTAAGCACGAAACTCCTGTCATCTTATATTTGATTACTCTACATTTTCCATCAGAACTTCACTGCTCTGCATTTAAAAATTTGATTGCAGAGATATATTTCCATCCGCCTGTCAATATAGCAAGGTCTCGCTATACTAACTTGATTGCAAAAGTTTCGTTGCATTTCTCAGGGCAGCACTCATTTTCCAATGCTTCGAGATGTACAGTATAAATACAAATAGAAAAAACATTCGTTTCGAAATTGTTGTGAAAAATAATGCTTTTTTAAATTTATTTCTTTTAATAAAATCCTCTTTCTTAAAAATATTCATTTTTTTCAGAAAAATATTATAAAATAACTTAATCGACATTTATACGGCAATAAATGTAAATGGAATACGAAATTTGAAAAAAACATTTTTGTTTTTAAGATGATATTCTTAACTATTACCGAAAGGAAAGTTTTATTAAAAAATAAATTGGGAAGAAGAGCCTTGACATTATTCATACTTTAGCTTATTTCATTAGATGTGATGCTTGTTAATTTTATTTTCGCCTCAGGAATAGTAAGAGATTGTTTTCGTTATGAAGAGCAAACCGAAAAGACGTAATGCAAAACTATCCAGCCTTGCCACTTAGCAAAACAAAATCTTTTTCATTTAAATAAATAAAATGGCACATATACATAGAAATAAATCAATAACAACAACAAAAAAATTCTGAAAGTTTTCGGATTTTATATTATTCTCAAAGGCGCTTTTTTTAAGCTTTGTGTGTTACCTTTATTTATTAAATATCATATTCTTCGCACTTAAACCATAAAATTTAACTCAGAAATATCACAAAATAATTTAAATAGAGCATATCCTTAGAATTTCCGATACACAGTCTCGCACGGTGGAGATTAAAATGTTTTTTTTTTTGGGGGGGGGTACAATGTTGCTATTGCCCGCTCTGAAATCGTCCAGTTTCTTAATTAAAAACTTATAAATGCTTTACAAAATATGAAATAGATAATAAAACAAATTCCAGATTCCAAATTTGGGCTTCCAGATGGCCATATTCGGGTGGAGACGTACATTATTAAAATTTGATAGCTCTAGGTACCATTTTTTTATCCTAATACGAGAAACGTACAACGCAGATTTCATTATTTAGTTCTTTAACTCTAATACAGGGCGATAATATTTGGTGGGAACTCTTCGAAAAGTGAAACGCGTTTGTAATAAAACGCCACAAAATGCCAAAACAAAATTAACAGTCCTTCTGAGCTAACGCTCTTTGTACGTGCTTTCCTCATGCCTTGTTATTGCAGAATGTGTCAAGATTAGACTAATGCGAAATTACTCTCTTTTAGCGTACAAAAATTTTAAACCTGTAAATGTTTATAACCTTTCGGTTGTGGTTACCTTATCATCAAGGAGAAATATATTGGCAACTTCTGTACAGGGAATAATTCTACTGCAAAGGAATTTATGGCTTCTTGTTTCCAGAATCGTGAAGCAGAAGTAGGGAACTCTTCTGACATTAACCCTAGAATTCAAATCTATTACTAGACAATTACTGCGTCTTTAATTTTTGAAAGAGTCCTTAAAAGGGCATCAGATCCAGTCTGCTCATGATATGAAGAGGCTTATAGCAGAAAACAGGCTTGCATCAAGAAGATATCTTCAATTTAACTTGTTAATAGGACTGCTGAACAACTTTCACAATTTTTCATTTCACAGTTATTTTTCGGAAAGTGTAAATACACAGCGAAAAGTCTTTGACTTCTGCTTATATGTTTCCGAACTCTTTCGGTATTACAATTAATTTATGGTATTAAATATCTGGAATATTCAAGTCAACTATGTATCGATAAACAAACAATTATCCAAATATCCAAGACAGATTTTCAGCACAAAATTTCAAGCCGAAAAATGAAAGAAACATTTATGGCTATAAACGAAATTTTAGGATTTTTACAAAATTCCCTTAGCCGCCTTTGTTTACATCATTTAAAAACGAAATTTTGAATGATATTACGCTGCCTGACAGCAAAATAGTGACACACTGAAGGAAGTTTCAAAAACAGATAAAATTGTACTCACACGTAGCCAGACTGGTATAGAACAAATGATTCAATTTTCATATACATATTCCATGAGCCTGAAATACACGGCGATCACTTAGGAAGCTTCGTTTCGGACAATGCAATGTTGAATCTGACGTGTTATTGATTCGTTAAGAATATAACGCTATATATATAACGCCCTGAGGTATTGTAGGTCATGTAGTGTCGATCCGAGTTCCCAGTTCATCTTCATTTCGTGGAGTTGGAAAGGTATTCAACCGATGATTAATCGTTCCTGCAAATTCCCTCTTAATGAGACATCAGCTAATCGGCCTTACCAAGAAAGCATCAACACAGCTCTAAAAATATTTAAGCTGTTGTTGTGTTTATCTTGTCCATATCCCATGGAACAATGGTATTAATGTCCTTTTTCATTTTATGCTGTTTATTTTCACTTTATACATAATTCTGTTTAAGTCTCCAGTATGTCATTATCTGATAACTTACAAAAGTTTAATATTGTTTTTTTCATTTATGTATATAATTATTGATTTTGTTTTATGCATAAATATATATGCTACTTTCCTGCCAAATTTTGTGTCAATCAAAGCAGTATTTGTGGGTTTTTTTTTTGCATTTTACATCTTCGTGCTTAACTTTTGGAAGTGAGTGTATCTTACGTATAAGAAACTAATCGAATCGCGGCATGAGCTTTGGTCTACAGCTAAGATCAGACGTAGGACGCATAATATGTTTCTGAAAGTAGAAATAACGCAATATAGTTAATTATTCCGCAATATAATCGCTTTATTCTATTCCAGGCCAAAATCTGAGTTGTCAATTGAAACTGAATATCTTATCTATATCCTAAATTACGGCTCGTTCCTACTCGGGTCCCTCACTTTGATCTGTTGTTACTTCAACTCATAAGAAATGTTTCCAACTTCTAAACAAGGCTCTTTGGATATTCCTCGTTTTATTCAGATCCACAGAGATAACTCAAATATTAGGATACACTCTTTTGAGAACTATCTACAATTTACTTTTCACTACAAGTTAACTCTTGATACGAAATTATTTAGTTTATTAAAATTATGATTCGTGAAAGAATTATATCTTCAAACGACCATTAATTATTTTCCACAATGTTTCATATAACAAAGCGATTTTAACAGTGTCTGAAGTTTTAATTCATCATGAATCAAAACTCTCTTATGCAACACTTAGCAATCTGCAAACATAAGCGCTCAAAGTGATGGTACTTAAGCACATAATTCCTCTCCCCATCACTTCATTATATTCCCTTTCATTCTAAATAATATATATATATATATATATTATTCTAAGTTTACATGCTTGTGCTATTTAGAAAGTAGAGAGATAGAATGAGCTATCAACTCACCTGGATGCTCTCGTGTGCTGCGGCGATACGTATGCAGAGGAATAGGAGGAGTATGGATGATTTCTATAGACATCCTTACGGAGGAGGTCGTCCATGGTCTGCAGGACGGACAAGTCCTGATCCCGGGTCGACTCCTGGGACGAGCCACCGCTCTCCAAGGAAATGGGGCTCGTATAGAGACGATCGCCGTAAGCTGGGCTTACGTAACCTGGGATAAAAAATAAAACAAATATGAAGCAATACACTTCTCCGATTAATCCAGCTATAGTAAGTTCAGATGAATTGAGAATGAGACATTAACAGTTTAGTCTAATAAATCAGGATGCTCCGAAATTCGACTATTTAGATTAGTAAAAGTCTGAAATCAATCTAAATAAAGCTGAAAATTTTATATTCTTAAAATGTATTAAAAATTAATTTTTATTCTAACGAAGTAAAAAGAAAAGTAAAGCATATATTTATGGAGAAAAAAAGTTTGGTACTAAAGTTTGTCCAGCTTTTTTTCCGTACAGTAAGGTTTCAAAAAAAGGTTATTTCTCATCAATTATCACATTCACTCGCCTAATTCCCCCTTTTAGTTACTAATTTTAATCTATATAATTGGGAAGAGGAAAGTTACACGGTGTATACCATTTCGGAGGAAAGAAGGGTGATGATTTAAAGGCCAATGGCAACTGGACGCTTTAAAATTACTGTTATTTTCAATATTACAGCACTATTTTTTTATTTCGGCATTGTGCTGTCCCTCTTCTAGATTACATATAAAATCAAATTTTATTTTTATGATACTTAATTTAAATTTGAAGATTTTATTAATACGAGTACTAAATACTTAAAAAAGTTTTGAAAAGAGGAGAAAACTGAAGATGACTGGAGATGTACTTCAAGGAGAAAAATCGTTGGATAACACTAGACATTTGAAACTGTTTATCGCTTTCGGAAAGATAACAAATATCCACTCTCATATAATAAGAATGAATCCGATACTACCGTATTTATTGTTATCATATAGACTGACCACATTCCATTTCTTTACGTTAATGTAATAGAAAAATCTAAAAGAACTCTCGCGTAATAACTATTACAAGTTTTCTGTAAAGATCATATTATGGTTTGTGAAAGCATCTAACTATTTATATTCCACTTTAAATGTGTGTTAATGTGTTAGATAAATGTTTTCCAAGAAGGGACGGTTATTGTGAGTTACTGTGTTATCGAAAAGGTAGGAAAACTATTTATTTTCTTACTCCATTAATTGTTACATAAATATTTACAACATGTGTCAGCACCTTCTTGAGTTTGAGTCTTTAGATGATGCTGTCGTTATACCCTATGTCCACCCTAATTTCTTTTTATCTCTATGAGGAAAAAGGTGAATGCCTTTTTTAGGGGTTCGCAGGATTTACCTTGAATATAACTTTGAAATACATAACCTTGAAACGGGCAAAGAATATCAGTCTCAAAAATTCCTTAAATAGGTATTGGTGTCAATTTTCTGAATCTAGAGATTAAATAAAATATTATACGAACAAGTTAAAACTTTCTAAATCATACACTGAAAGCACTACGGAGAAAATGCGCAAGAAGAATTTTTGTGGATTGATTTTAATTATTGCTTCCGGCAACATTATAACTAAAAATCTCTAAAAAAGAAACGCAGACAGAAACATAAGCTATTCGGTCAATGCCATTTCTTTTCTCACCTGTTGCGTCTCGTATCCTGGCGATCTTGTAGAGCTCGTCATGCAGTCGTGCATTCTCTTCGATGTGCTGCCTCCTTCGGGCGATCTCCGCCTTGATCTTGGCCTTCTTCTCCTCTCTCTCGTCTTCGTCCTCCGACACGTAGGGAGAGGGGTGCCAGGAGCGAGGCTTCCGTAGGTGCTGATGCCGTTGCGCCATGCTGTAGCCTCCAGGCGTTCTCCCGTAGGGATCCAGGCCCAGGCCAAGGGACACGAGGCCCGTGTCCGTGTGACGACGCAATCTGCACACAATAACGCATGAAATATTTGAAGGAAATTTCATAAAGACTGTTTTAAGCCCTTTTTAAAGTATAAACATATGCATAAACTTCAAAATAGAAGGGTAAATAGAGGGTGGATTGAAAATACACCTACATTTAGGAGAGAAAATTTTTTACCATTCCTACTCCAAATAATAATAATTTTATATTTTTACACTGAAATTTTCATCCGATTTCGAAAGGAGTCTATTGATATTTAAAAATATTCAGTTTGTATCAAAATGCAAAATGAATATAAATGCTCAATATAATGTTATAAATATTCAAAGTGACCTCCTCCAACAGCACAAGCCCACTAATCGAACTCTTTCTGTAGCTTCCATAGCATAATTTCCAAGTTCAGGCACAAGAGCATCACTTCAGGATAGTGAATTAAAACTTTAAGATAGTTATATGCTCATGAAAGCCTTATGTTCTATGTCTGTCGTCACTGAATTAATCGCTGCTGCTCATCCAAAGTATTCTGTAAAGGAGGCACATATACTGAATCTTGAATGATCTTCTCCACCTCTATAGACAGCAGAAATTTCAGAGTTGAAACTTAGGTTCAAATCATTCTGTAAAGTCGTTAAAGATTTTTCACACGTGGAAGGAGAGAACCCTGAGAGAGATTTCTGAGGCTGATTGTCTATCTCGAAAAACACAGATGGCGGCTGGGCATAACTAAACGTAACTTGAACGTTCCCAATTTTAATCTTTTCATTCAAATATGAATATCACTTTTCATATTTGCATATAGAGCTTTGAAATCAGGCTTTATCTTAAAACAAGAAAGTAAACACGGTATTTTGATGTAAATAAAATAAAAATCTAACAAATGAAAAATAATATTGTTGGAAACGGATATAATTTATTTGCAACTTTAAATCGATCGTTTGTAATCTATTATTAACTATTATGAGAGCAACAGAAACCATATTGTAAATAAAAGGAGGTATTTTTTAACCTTGTTTTACTGTTTTCCACTGTTTGATTTATATAGCATAGGATTTTGTTCAATAGTTATATCTAGAATATAGAATCTCCTTATGCATCTACTTTGAAATACGTCCAGTTTGGTATTAGTATTAACGGGCGCAGTCCCCAGCCCACTTAGCCGGCATAAACCGGCCATATGACTAAAAGGAGGACCGGCCAATTCGACTCAAAAGAGGGAGCCAACAGCCCGGGTGCGCCCCCTACAAAATAAATAAAAGTAGATCTAGTTTTCAATTCCAATAGTCTTCTTATTCATATTAATAATATTCAATACTTCCCTAGCACATCTTCATGCCTTTCCATCTTTTTTTATTCAAATCTCGCATGTTGAATGATCCATACTTTTCCCTCACACTCCTTTTAATACACAGTCCTCGACAAAGTGAGCTGCATCTCCGTAAGAATTACGCATTTTGCATAAGCAGTTCTCCTGGAGGTGGAATCTGTTTAGATAGGCGGGAAACCTACCATGATTGGTAAACGTCCAGCTTGGTATACATCATGTTTGGATGCGAAAATGTTTGTTTGGTATAGGACTCAAGTTCGAGAAGTTATGACTGGATGCGCTACATGTGTTCACCTCTTTCGAGACAACGCTACGACTGCCCATGAGCGTCAGTACCCTTGATATTACTATTCAGAAAGCAACCCGCGCTATAACTCTGAACTTTTAAGTAATATTTTATTTTCGTGTAAATGCTTTGAAAATATATTAACAATGAGTTTTAAGAAAGTTAATGAAGAATAGACAAGCAACGAACAAAATTGTTAGAATCACCACAGAGATAAAAAAAAGAGGCTATAGAAAAATGTAAACGTGGCATGCGAATCTGAGATTTAGCTGTCACATAACGTACGCTAAAAATGATGATGTCACTACGATCGTGAAAAATAAAGATTCTATTAAATCGGCTAACTATAAGAAGAAAGTGAAATCGATTAACCCTCGAATTAATCTTGATCTTGATATAATTGCCGATGTCGAACACCCAGTACCATCCCAGTAATTCTTCTTCAGAACCTGATTGTACCTGCATTATACACAAAAAAAGGGGGGACGAAGAGGGAATGCAGAAAAATGCTTTGCGAATATTGTAGATGACTGGTTTTTCTACTCATTAATTGAAATACCAAGTTATTTTTTTAAGGAAAATGAAACAAAAACTTAAAGAAACTTTTCTTTCCCATTGTTGAGCGTGTTTAATTGCCTTAGGTAACTGAAAGCGAAATAGGTTCTTTAATTCGAAATTCCGTTCTTGCGAGTTAATTTTTTCATTACCTTAAATGACGACGAAATTAATAACTGATTTTTCTCTCAAAATATGCTATTTCTCGCGTCGGAGCTCACGCATTCATGCGGAAAATAATTAAATAGAAGATTAGTGACGCGGAACTTATCTTACGCTTAATTCTTGAAACCTCCTTCCTCCATCTTGTTGTAAGTGATTTCTTTTTAATTCTGTCATGTGACTTAATGTTCAAGAATAAAAAATATGTAGTAGACTCTGGCCATTAGTTCTTAAGTATTTATAAAAAAAAATATTATTTTTACTTCCTTGTATAAAGTAAAAAAGAGGTATTGCAACCGCGAAAAATTTCGGGTATCATATTTTAAAGAAAATATCCATTTTGACCGCTATCGAATGCAATTTAATAATGTTTTTGCCTGACATCTGCCCGTAAGGACAGAATAAAGGACTCTATTCCCCCAAAAAATTACAAACCTGATTTAAAATGAATTCTGAAGGAAATTTTTTTGTGGCGTCTGTGCGTACATACGTCCGTACGTATCTCTCATAACTCAAAAACGAGTAGCCTCAGAATGTTGAAATTTTGTATGTAGGACTGCTATAATGTGTAGATGTGCAACGTATTTTTTCCCTTGCAGTCGGCGCATATTAATTATATATTGTTATATCACTGGCTCAGGGAGCTCAGTTTCTTTATACTTATACGCTTGTAAATTGTACATTTTTTGCTTAAAAATGATTGAATTATGTTGTTTTAGTTAAGATTTTTATGCCTTTAGTTAACCTGCGTGCCATAATTGTGGAATTGTCAACAATAGAAAAGTTTTTTAAGTGCGGCTAAGTTTTATTTTTGATAGTGGCGGCCATGTTTGTTTACATTTGAAACTTAGCAGATTAGTGGATTTGTTGCCAATCTAGAGAAAGTAAGCTTCGCAACAGCAAGAAACGCCTTCATTTTATTATCGCAAATTAAGTCATGCTTAATCCATTCTGGAATTTAAGAGGAAAAGTGGTTAAGATCTACTTCGTAATTTTTAAAATAGAATTTTGAGTTTTTATGTATTTTTGCCTTGTTGCGAAGTGAGAACTAAATTAATTGAATGAGAAATATTGAATGGTCTGTGAAAAAAAGTTTCTTTTTTTGTTTGTTTCATTCCTTTTATGCATCGTTTTAGATTTAGACATGTAACGCTGTTTAGTATTTGAAAAGAAAATGTGGTAACGATTAGATAATTCTTCAAATGATATAAATGTTGTGCATTCTCAGTTATAATATTCCTGCAAGAGATGGCGCCACCAGAGCTTCAGTCAACTAAAATGCTTTTCATCCCTACTAATAGATTGCGTCACATGAGCGCCTCATTTGTTCAAAGTTTACTTATTCTACGGACGGCGGCACAGGAGCCTCCGTCGCTAGTAATCTCTGAGTTCTAGCGCAGCATGTGCACAAGTACTTCCATATTATTGGATACAAGTTATTCGATTCTTCACGCATTTAAAAGTCAAGTATAATATATTGTAAAGGCCGTTAATGGCCGATTGCCTCTTACTGAGTCATAAGACATAGACATAGACATAGTTATAATATGAGACATGTAAAGCTGTTAAGTGAACCTAGCGTCAGAGTGTCTCTATGGTAAACAAATATAGTGTATTTAAAAGAGAGCATTTATTCTATTGTGGTTTATGCGCTATTGACAAATAAAAAAGAAATTATAAGTAGATTTAATTCAGTTCAATAAGCTTAAATGAAATGCAAGTAAAAATGTGTATAATTTAGTATTCCGCACAAGGAAGTCATGTGGTGTACACATCTGATTTTTTAATTTCATGAACTAAAAAATAGATTTAAAAATGAAATCATAGGAAACAGTTTTCTTCTTTAACTGAAAATGATTCAGTGAGATATGAATTGCTTAACTGAAGATACTGGGTTGAAGAGTTATTTGTATATATGAGGAATTATTTGCTCTAAATTAGTAGTTTGATTGTCAGATCGAGTGGGTACGACATTTGAACACTGGTAGTTTTAATAAGCCTTTTATTTAAGGTATGCGACGGCATTCTAATCGTCAATGTTGATGAAAGGTTTCAAAACATTTTTATTACTTTATTTTAAAGCTCATACATTAAGCTTCTCAAAACTACATTCATTTTGTCTCTCTGGTCGTTAGAAGCAGAATTATGGCCGTTCTTGTTGTTTCTGTTTAAGGTACTGAAAGTTGATGTCTAAAGACACACAAGAGTTCTCTAAATAACTTTAAATTGAGAATTTTTCATTTGAATACTTTTGGTAATGTTCATATCATGATTCTAAAACTTTCTATTTGTTAAGTGCTCGGAAACAAGATTATTTTTGAAATCTAGTTTTCATACTTGGCAACATTTTCTTTTCCTTCTGTTTGTGTTTGCATTACTTTAAACCTATTTTTTGAAAAACCTGATATTTTTAACCTTTCTGTTACGGGAAAAAACCTTAACTTAATTAACTAAAACTTAACCAAACTTTTATAGTAATTTTATAAAACTTTCCATAAAAATTCTGTAAAATATTGTAAATCAAATGAACTAAAAGGTTTATGTACATATCTAAAGTGTCTTCAGATAGTTTTCTAAATGTAATGATGAAAATTTCTCAAAGAATAGCTAGTGCATGTACACAAACAGTTATATTTCATAAACATTTCATTTTATCACAGTAGTCCATTTAAATATAAAAGAAAAGTACCGGAT